TATGTATATATATATATCTTTACAAAATTCTTTTTCCAATGAGAGACTCAAATGGGAATTTTTTTTTTTTTTTTTTTCTCTGTCTTCTGAAAAATCATTAAATAATAATAAAAAAAAAAGAAACATGGGGAACAAGAAGATGTGATAGTAAATATTAAGCACTCATTTAATCTGTAGGGGTCATTGCATATTCTTGATTATGTTTTAAGGAATATCATGATTCATTGTATTGCCTTATTTTTTTCTTTGTATTGCCTATTTAAAAAGTAATTTTGATGATAGGTCGAAAAAGAGATGTTATTGCAGTTTCACAGCGTTTCACGAGAGAATGTGGAGAGAGGATGCATTATTACTTTATTTAGTTAGAAAGAGAAAAGAATATTCCAATTTTTGTTAACAACTGTATTGATATATTTAGATTTTAATGTAACCCATACAGTGACATCCACGTGGAAGTCGTAATACATCGATTTTTTTTTTAAGTCGGGCGAAATAGCAATACTCTTATTGTACAATAAGATAAATAAAAGAAAGGTTGGTGTACATTAACTAAACATTAATAAGAAGTATGAGTACGCCCAATATTCCACAAAAAAAACGATCACAATTCCATTTTTAGATATCCCAAAATAAATGTTTCAATTAAAAGTTAATGGACTTTATTTATTTTTTATTATTATTTTTTTTTGTAACATTATTAATTTAACTTTTTTTACATTCAATTTCTAAAAAGTAAAAATCACATCATTGTAAATTCACTATAAATAAATTAGTAATTCATTCACTATCAATACAATAAAAAAAATAGAAAAAATTACACTGACCTCCCTTAAAGTTTCATCAACCTACATAGGCCTCCCCTCTTGTTTGTCAAATTACACTGATCTCCCCTATCAATGGATGCTGTTAATGAAAAGAGTAAAATTATTAATTTACCCTTACTTATTCATTTATTAAAAAAAATATAAAATATCATGGATGTAAATTACCAATAGTACCCTTTTTAAGATTTTTTTTTTTTTTTTCTCCTTTCCCACGGCCTTGCCACTGCCCACAAGCCCTCTCTCTCGAGCTCGCACGATCCGGATAGCAGAAGAGGCAATCAGTGTGAGAAAGGTCTTGGAAACATTGGGCTAGGCCGTAGATAGGTAGTGTTGAGTTCACTACGTTATGACCCCGGTGATGGATGGTGACGAGTCGTGAGAGAATTTCCATTTCTTTGACAAAGGTTGGGACATAGTTGGGCTTTGGTGGCGGTGTGGAGTTGCCACAGAAGAGGGCTGGCCTCGGAGATTCGAGGATTGGACCGTGAGAGTGAGAAAAAATTGATGAAGAAGAAGAAGACCCATGTGAGATTTGAGGAAATGAGTGCTGAGAATTGCATAGAATTCAAATTGGGTCTACTGGAAATCTCATCTCTCTCTCTCTTGTTTCCAATTCCATCTCTGGTTTCATTCTTTGTTGGTTGAGATCAATGTGGATGCTAAATAGAAAGCAGCAAATAAGAGACTAAAGGGCATCCAAGCTCACGTACTCTGATTCGCCGTGTGTATATACATATAGATAGATATATATGTGCGTGTATATGTGTATATATATATATGTATGGATGAGATTGTTGTGTGTGTCTATATATATAGAGATAGATATATATGTGTGTGTAATTATATATGGATGAGATTGATGGGTGGAGTTGAGGGATGAATTGGTTGATGGGAGGAGGAGGAGGAAGAAAGGGTAATGTGGGGTAGTTTCCGTTGATCTCACGGGTAAATTTCGTGGCGGCAGTTTTAGACCCATTGGGTATTTGGGGTTTGTTGACATGAGGGCACCATTGTCCTTTTGAGTATAAGTTAAGGATAGTATTGCAAATTTGCAGTAATTATTGAGGTTAAAAATGCCATTTCATGTATTAGAAGAGTAAAATTATCTTTGTACTAATTTTTTTTTACGGACATAAGTATAAACCGTTAGTTGTTTAGTGGCAGGGAGGTTCATGTTATCAGTATATAAACTTTGATGGAGGTTAGTATTATTTGACAAACAAGAGGGAAGGTCAGTGTATAATGACGAAACCTCAGGGAGGTCAGTATAATTTACTCAAAAAAATATTTAAAATTTATCACTTTGAAAAATTAGATTCCTAAAACGAACTTCTTCTTTTTTTTTTTTCTGTTTGTTTTTTTTGAGGAGGAGGGAATATAATTTACCCCAATAAAAATTTTAAAAAAAAAACGGCGGAGGTTTATACTGCAAGTAGTGATGTGGACAGTGGGTGTGTCATTTTATCCAGTAACTCAAATTTGTTGATGTGTGTCTAAATGTCATATTCACTAAACATAAAAAAGTGAATATGTGTCTAAATGTCATATTCACCTGACAAATAAACTCCAACAAATACTCCTCCCAATTACTCTCATTATCACACTAAAATAATATTTTTACTCCTTTCTCAAAAAACAAATTCATGTACAAGAATAAACACAAATTCCTGTACAAAATGCATGTCCAAACAAAAGCTTTAGACACACGTCTTTATATTCACACCCCACAAATCACAATCGTCTGATACCGACACGAGTGCAATTTTTTTTTTTGTAAGCTAGTGCCATTATTAAGAATGCTTGAACCTTTTTAGTTTTTTACTTTTGTATACGAAAAATATCTGTTTTGATTGGAAGACATGGGACGACCAAATCGACCGACACAGATCTCCGTATCTTGTTCTTCCAGATGTCTGTCTGTCCTGTGATTCCACCAGTACCATCAGTGACAATAAAATTAATTACAGTCAATTCACAATAGGTGGCATTTTTTGTTCTTTTTGTACTACTACCATACTGTAAACGTTTAATTTTGTCTTGGTCTATCCTATTTTATTTTTAATAAATAAAATAAAATTAGAATAACAGAGTTGATTATTAATTAGCTTGTGACTTTAGTACTCTGAAGAAAAACGAGACATACCATTTCATTGGCATCTGTTGCGAGTATAAGGCGCTCAGATCTATGTTTGGCCAACAATAATCCACCGAGTGTTTTGCGATCTAATAAAAAAATTTAAGTTTATAATAAAATTAATACCTAATTTATTTATATTTAATTTATTTTTATTCGAATTTGATGTATTTTTTATTTTATTTTATTATATATTTTTTAGAACTAAAAATATGACGTTGCGTAAAACATAATAAGTTCAAATATAATTTGAGAAATAAAAAAGAAAAAACTTTTAGCTAAATTCATATAATTGGATGAATTGTACAAACCCCCTTTCACGGTATTTTTGGCAATGAGTCAAAAAATAATCTCTTTGGTTGCTTTAGATTATTTTTTGAAAAAAAATAAAAAATAAATAAGAGTTTATAATTGCGACTGCCCATACCATTTATTTGGGAGATAGATAAGATATCACTGAGTAGTCGGTACAAAGACCCTTGGTAAAAAATAAAAATTCTACTCAATATTAGTATTGGCTTAATATTTTAAGGTGTCTAAGGGTTGAACTCTTAATCTCCCTTTAAGAAGTTGATACACCCGTATCATTGGTCCGTTGGTCACGAAATTAGTTTTAAACTACACTTATGTTGCGTTTGAGAGCACCGAACCGACTACTTGTATTTAGAATTAAAAAATATTTAGTTTGGTACTCCAAAACCTAACATAACACAGAATAATTTGTAACATTTATTGAAAAATGAGACACTATCATATCATATCAATGCCTATGTTGTGAAAGATATGTAGTTAGGTCATGTAATTAATAATAAAGAAATAATTACGAATAAATTCATATAAAAGCGGAATTAAACGAATTACCATTATACATACATATACGATGGACAATTATTTGCATACAATAATGTTAGTAGGACAATTATCATAGACTTTAATACATGCACAGCTAATAATATAGTAGTAACATATTTGTCAATGAACATGGTTTTAAATGCGGACATATAAATGCATGTTTAAAATAAAAAATAATAATAAAAAGAAGAAGAAGATGATGATAAAACTTAGAAATGCATAGATTTATGCTGGTTGAAGCAACACATTGGTCGTTGGAGATAAAAGTGTGTGTGTGTGTGAGAGAGAGGAAACAACTAAACATGCAGTGAAGGACAATAAATGTAACATCAAAGAAGAAGAAAAAAGAAGTTGACTTTTACCCCTTGGGGTAGTTTTGAGAGAATGGGGAAAATAAAACTAATATATTTTGAGTAAGAATGAAACATGTCATAATATCTATTTGGTTAGAATTATTAATGGAAAATCAAGATTCATTCAATCTACCTTCGTGTTTGGTTGTTGGATTATCACTCCTCCCAATTTAGTAATTTTTAAATTTTTTTTTTTTCCCAAAGTATTCTGCTATCATTTTTTACCTATTGCCAATTTGATACCATCCAATATCAAAGCTAATGTTTGGTGGAAGGATGAGAAAATGGATGAAAGGGGATGGCTGATTGCGAAAAATTTCTCATTGCTGTCTCTTGTAGGAGTCTGGGTTGTGTCTCAGTCCTAATGTGTTTGATCATCCTCTCCGACCAAGTGTGTTTGATCATCTCTCTAACCAAGTGTGTTTGATCATCGTCTTGGTAAGTTATTACCTCACCAACTAGCTAATCCGACGCAAACCTCTCTTCGAATATATTATTCTTTTGCTCCTCAGCCTACGAGTATTAGAGGCGTATGAGAAAAATGGTGTCTTCTTCACTTTTTTATTTTTTATTATTGAAAAAAAGGAAAGAAAATATTTTATATTTTTTCTACCAGTATTCCTTCGTTATATAAGGTAAATACAAAGTAATTTGGTAAATAATTGTAAAACAGTTTTTGTTTCTTTCCCTTATGAAGAAAAGAAAAAATGTGAATAGGAAGGATGCTTTATTCCTCTCTTTTCTTTCTTTTAATTAAATGATGTAATCTTTCTTCTTTTATTTATTTCTTTTATTTTTCTTTTCAACCAAACAAAACATAAATATACCATTCAAAAAAAAAAAACAAAAACAAAACATAAATATAAAATCTACCAATTTTTTATTATTTTTTTAAAAAATAATAATATCAAGCAATTTTTTCTCTTCAAATTTCGGCAATAGCCTAATCTTTTTGACATTTCACCACTTTATTTTAGTGCAAAAAAAGAAAAAAAAAATAAAAATAAAAACACAATTGATTTACCCTTTTTTATTCAGAGTGGCACAATTAGTAAATTGGTGCAAATGAGCGGTAAATTTCGAACTGCTCCAGTGATGCATCATCCTCATATATCATCTCCTCCGTCAATTTAGCAAAAGCTTTCCAACCAATCTCTCTCTCTACATTGCTCTCTCTCTACACTCTCTGTCTCACTGCTCTGCCAACACATCCACTAAATCAAACACATTTCATCCGAATTTTGCAACTCAATCTGCCAAATATATAGCAGATCTGATCCACACTCCTCCAGATCCAAACACGCGAACCCTAATTCAGCAATGGAGGAGGCATTGGAGATGGTTCGTGCCAAGGACACGAAGGAGAGAATGGCGGGAGTGGAACATCTCCACCAACTTCTAGAGGCTTCCAGGAAGAGCCTGTCGTCTTCGGAGGTCACTTCGCTGGTCGATTGTTGCTTGGATCTCCTCAAAGACAACAATTTTAGGGTTTCTCAGGGGGCACTGCAAGCTCTTGCCTCCGCTGCTGTTCTCTCTGGTGAGCACTTGAAGCTTCACTTCAATGCCCTAGTTCCAGCAGTTGTTGAGCGCTTGGGTGATGCCAAACAGCCTGTTCGTGACGCTGCGAGGCGCCTTTTGCTCACTCTCATGGAGGTAAACACTCCCCTCTTTTCGCGTCTATGTAACATGTATATATATATCCAAAATGTTGATTGTTTGTGATCCAATTATGGCTGTGTTGATTAAATTGGTATGATGTGTGGTCGGGGTGCGTTGAAGTTGATCATAGACGGATTAGTTTCCTTCGAATTTGCGTTAGTTTTTGTCTAATATAACATTTTTGTCTCTCAATTCATGTCATTGAATGTTTCTGTTATATAATTGATACATGCCTGTTGATTAAGTTCGTAATATTTGGGGTTTGAGTAGTATTAGTTCTATATTGATTCATATTTTCTGGGCTGTGGTTGGTTGAATAAATATGGATTATTGATTCCGTAGTATCAGAAAAAGTTTCCCTGGCTGTAAAATTGTGTTTTTCCTCTATTTTCGTGTTAATGAAATAGATTTTAGTTTAAACTCCTATGATTGTTTTGAAGAGCAACACTTTTAGATTTGAATGAGTGTACTCAAATTTTAAATTCATTTTCTTGCATATATGGGCTTTTAGTTTCCTTTTATTTACTTATTCACATTAATGGATGTTGACTGTGTTTCATGTACTCATTTTTGTTTAATTGCATTTATGGTCCAAAATATTTATAGTTAGTAAATATATATTTTTTATACAAATAAAAATTCAAGAGAATGCAACTTTTCTTGCCTATAGATAAGGCATGGCATATGCTCATGGAAATTGAAAGATTCTAAAAGTTAGGATACTGATGTTCTGTTTGTTTATCACGATACATACGTACGTACATACATACATACATATATATACATATTTGATAAGTAAGCAACACACACACTGACTTTGCCCACTTGGGCTTGAACTCTTGACCTCTCTTTCGGGGAGTTGAAGGTCATACCACCTAGGCCGAGGGTCCGATGGTGATATATACTCATTGCATTCGTTCTAAAGAGTTTGATATTCTGAATCCACAAGAAAATATGCTACATGCAGCTCAACTCTGCTATTGTCCCTATTACATCACATTTACTAGTATCAGGCGCTAGGCAATATGAAATGAGAGCACTTGTTATGCATATTTAAAGATTGAGAAACTTTTATTCCTCCTTCTTAACAATAAATTTGATAATGGCTACCTTTAATACTTAGGGTTTGATACACAATAAATTGCCATTTTCTACACACATATAGGTGGATTCGGTAATCAATATTCTCTTTTCATCAAGTGATTGACAAGGGTGAGCAATTCACTTACAATATTTACTTGACATTAATAAAAAAGTATATAATGAATTATGAGTTGCTCATCCACATCTACTTCAGCAAAATCAGGTGACAAGAGGATTGGTAATGGTGTTCTCATTGGGCCAAACTGGGGGAACATTCTTGGTCACCGCCTAGGTTGTGCCTTTTTCCCACTTGGAAAGGAAAATGGAGTGGTGACTCATCTTCTCTTTCTGAGGCCATGCACGAAACCTATGTCGCATGGATTTGGTTGTGTTTATCGATCGTGGATATGTGCTAAAAAGTCAGATTCATCAAACCGCCTAGGATGTGCTAAATATTCATATTAATTAATAATTTACTTTTATTTCTTTAGGTATTATTATTATTATTATTTTTATGTAAAACATAGGTACTTATTGAATTTTGAAGTAATAATGTAGCACTGGAACATAATATCAGAAATTCACATACAAATATGTATAGGAAACCTGAATTATAGGATAAGATTGTTTTCTGCATGTCTAACTAGACATGTGGGATAAGTTATACACAATTATACCCAGGGCGGTGCGTCTGGTACAAGTACTTCATTTTAGAAGAGTCCACATATGTTGATACACCACCTATGGCTTCCAACAATTGTATAAATATGGTTAATCCTAGAAGGAGCGAGGGATGGTGGTTGGCTTTTGGCCACCAATTTAGTGAACCTGGCTGCTTGATGAGTTGATGTTGATGTTGATGATGAAGGGGGACGCCTAGAGCAGTGTGGCAGTCAAAGAAGATAGAGACAGTGAGAGGGACAACACCACCATTGCAAACATTACTCTATTATGCTATTCCCATCAAATCTTCTCTCTTCAATTCTTTGAACACCAACTACGTAATTTATAACATATAACATTGGAAGTCATATGAGAAACCAAGGGCTATGTCTCATTAAAACACTCTTCGTTACGTCAAAGGGAACTCAAATAAGTTTAACTTAAAAGTCTCACAATGGAATAAAATTCAACACTGATTTACCCTCATTATATCCTAATTCTAATTTTCAAAGAAATAGTAGTAGTATTTGGAATCTTTTATATGCTTGACCTTACAAATTATATTCTAACGGTATACTAGAGATGTTGTACCTGAATGTTCAAGATATGTCGAGCATGTGTCTTGAGGTAACCAAGATGCATAGGACGTATGTTCAAAACAGAAGGAAGTCATTTTTAACTTATGAATACATTTAGGAAGTATATGGACATGTCCTTGTAGGTTTTTAAGGAGTATCAGTAATTGTTTATAGAATTATCCATGGTTACACATTCATGCCTTAAATAGGAAAATGTCTTACATAATAAATGTGCTACGTTGCACTTTGACAGCACATGTAATCAGGCATGACGACTTCCAGTAAGAATATGAGGATTTTGTGCTTGATGTGTTTGAAGTTAAACAAGTTTATTGTACTTGGAGTTCTTGATGAAGAGCATTTTATCACTCAGTTTCTTACATTACCTCACCTCTCAAAGGTGCATCTCCATAAGCTAATGCTTGAGGTTGTCTTGTGTGGATACTTGAGGATATAGTTGTGGCTCTCTCAGTTGTATATGGGACCCGTTCCTCTTTTTGAGCCTTTTTCTTATTTATAAAATCAATCTTATAAAAAAATAAATAAGAAATCATACACCCCCCCCCAACCCCCCCCAACCCCCCCCCCCCCTGAGGGAGCCAAAATGCAAGTGCTATTCATTCCCTAATGTTCTTGGAGGCTGGATGATCTCATAATGTTTAAGTTGATTGGAACTAAATTCATGAACCTTAGTGGAATATAATCAAACAATGTTCACTGACATTCCAAAGTTTGTAACCAATTGTGGATCTTTGTGGAACATGATACCATAATCTGGGGCTTCCTTTGGGGCGGAACTACATGGAGACATTGCGCTCACAAAATTTTGGAGAGCTTTAAACTGGTAAAAGGATTTAACATGTGGCTCCCACAAAACTTATAAAGTAACCTTAATTTTGAGTCATTTTAGGTCTTGTTGATGGAAGTCCACTTTTTTAAGGAAAAGTAAAAAATTCCACATATAACCCCTATCTTCTCATTTTATGCACTTAATGGGTTGGTTTTTACTCAATAAATAATCTACTTAGATCCATTGTCTAACAATTCTATTTTAAAGAAAAATATTATAGTTTGTACTACCACATTGGCTCCTTCAAGTAAAAGTTCCTGGGTCTGTTGCTGGGCTTGCTGAATCTGGTGCATCTATATAATCATATTTCATCGGTCTATTGCCATATGACCAATTAGTGAATTTCTGCGCATAATGTTAACCAAAGTGCTTAGAAAGCATCTGAATCCTATCTGGTTTTCCAAATATGATTAATGCAAATATAAAATTTGAGATTCTCACCAACTGATAGAGGTCAAATGGTACTAAAAGCGTTAAAAATGGTAGCTTGATATGGTGGCTGGGTCACCATCTAAAAGTGGGTGTTTGTCAATTTGAAAACTTCTTCTGATTTTTCTGATTACGCTTGATTTATCCTCCATCCCAGCCGACGAATCCCCATCCCTGCACAAAAGTAGCTGGGAAATAGAAAAAAGAAATAAAAAATAAAGGGGAAAATCTCCACTTGCACTAGAACTGCTGGTTAATTAGATTTCTAGACTGATGGTGTGGGCTTTGGACTTCTTGTTTGTTTCTAATGTCCATAGATGAAAAAATGCCTATTTGTGTTAATGTGGATAACAGAAGTTTGTTTTGCCTTTATGTAGGTTGTACCGCCCTTGTGCTCAATCAATCTTCTTTCTTTTCAGGATCAACATGTTCTAGATTTTGTGTTAGATTGTACTTGTATCGAGATCTTGCTTCAGTTTATTTATTTATTTATTTTTGGTGGATGATTATCTGGAAGAAATAAGGGAAAGAAATATGCTTACACTATAGTCATATGTGTACAGGTTTCTTCTCCAACGCTCATTGTTGAAAGAGCAGGGTCTAATGGTTGGACACACAAAAGTTGGAGAGTTCGTGAAGAGTTTGCACGGACTGTTACATCAGCGATTAATCTTTTTTCAGCTACGGAGCTCCCTCTTCAACGTGCTATTCTTCCTCCTGTATGTTCATTGCTTATATTGTAATTATAGAAGAGGCATCTTTATTAGATAATTACTTCTCTTATTTTTTCAGGGAAAGAGTTTATAAATTACTATTTGTTTCTTGGATTAACAGATTTTGCAGATGTTGAATGATTCAAATCATGGTGTTAGGGAAGCTGCTATCTCGTGTATTGAGGTTAGTAAAATGCGTGGTATAATTGATCTTATAATATTTCACCTAAAGCTTAACTACATTCTCCATTTGGTGATTACTAAATTGTGAGCTGGTTTCAGCATATTCTATACACAATCACAGTTGGTACTACTTCTTTGTCATTTTACTGAATATTACATTGCTTGAGCCTTCTGTTTGGGTTTTTGAGAAAAGAAGAAAGAAAGGAATGCCGCTAGAGTGTTTTGTAGATATGTGTTCTCATATTTAACTTGAACGAGCAAAATAGGTCAAAATGCTAATATGAAAGCTCATAATGAGGGTGTGCTTCTCATCCTCAGAAATTATACCAATTTCTGAGAGGTCAATTTCGGTTCACAGGCTGGCAGCTTCTCACCTCTGAAGCCTGTGCGGAGAGCTCAAAAGGAGTACATAAGACTAGTCCCAAGTAAATGGTTTGTAGTTGATCTTACTTGCCAAGGAAAAAAAAATGTAAATGGTTTTTAGAGAAACTAAACTGCAACTCAAATCTAAGGTTGAAGCTGCCTCTTATATTACGTTTTTCCCACACCAAGAAGGTGGCTCAAGAAAATTCTGTCTGAACCTTGCTTATCCCCCTCCCCCAGCAGCGCACACACAAAAATAAAGAAGTTATTAATCCATCCCAAATCTCTATGAAACCACTATAATCTTCTTTGAACTATTAAAGCTGAGAAAAAACTATACTCAAAATCAATGCATGCATCTTAAATGGTGGATGAGGTCTTTTTACACAAGTTACTTAGCACACCTAGCTCCTTATGCCTTCCTAAGGCTACAGTGGAAACTCTGGCAGGAGGATAGATACAAAAATATTTAATGTTCATCTGGAACGATTCTGTTAGTCTGATAGGGTAAGTGGCTTGTATATTAGGATGCTGATGAATAATCTTCTTTTAGAAATTGTTTTTTATAATGAAGGATAAGATAATATTAGGATGCTGATGAATAATCTTCTATTAGATAACACATCTTCTAGTTTGTGGTAGATTGATATTGTAGAGAGTGAGAAAGGAAGAAGAAATGGTATAGGACGGCACGTGCTGTTGGGAGATGGTACAGGATAGGGTGGACAAGCAGTTGTGATACTGATTGGATAGAGGAATTATAATGTGGGAACTATTGTAGAAGTAAAAAAGTAAGGCGAGTTTCAGGATCGCCCAGTTTCATAATAACAAAGAAGTTAAGAGCTCTCAAATTCGCTCTTAAACAGTGGAACAAGGATGTTTTCGGGAATCTGGAATGGAGGAAGAACAGAGTCCTTGCTGATTTTTTCGAGATTGATCGTCTTGAGGAGGCGGGTGGGGATGTGGAGTCTCTACGTTCTAGGAGAGTCTCCTGTCAAGCGGTTCTTGCTGAGATTGCTTGTATGGAGGAGATCTCGTGGAGACAAAAATCTCGAGCTCTTTGGCTAAAAGAAGGGGATAGGAACACAAAATTCTTCCACAGATTAGCTAACGCTCATAGGAGGAGTAATCAAATTGGAAGAATTCGGGTGGAAGGTGTGGAGTTGTGGAGAGAAGAGGAGGTGCGTAACGAGATTGCTTCTTTTTATCAGAAGCTTTACACCGAGCCTTTAGCTTGGAGACCTAAACTTGATGGTCTCCATTTTGAGGCTATATCTGAGCTGGATAGAGATAGGATTGAGAATCCTTTTACTGAAGAAGAAGTTCTAAAGGCTTTATCAAGTTGTAATGGGGACAAAGCTCCGGGGCTTGATGGTTTTACTATGCGTTTTTTGTTGGCAAGTTGGGCAATGGTAAAACATGAGGTAATGGGTACTTTTCAGGAATTTCATTCTTCTGGCGTCTTTGAGAAGCCGCTTAATGCTTCATTTATTGCCCTTTTCCCCAAGAAGGGAGGCGCTTTTGACATAAAGGATTTCCGTCCAATTAGTTTGGTGGGTTGTATTTACAAACTTATTGATAAGGTGCTTGCTCTAAGGATGAGGGAAGTAATGGATGGGATTATTTTGGACTCCCAGAACGCTTTTGTTGGAGGACGACAAATTCTTGATTCAGTTCTTATTGCTGGTGAATGTGTGGATTCCAGATTGCGAAGCGGTATTCCTAGAGTTTTATGCAAACTTGATATTGAGAAAGCATACGATCATGTGAATTGGAATTTCCTACTCTATTTGTTACAAAGAATGAGGTTTGGAAACAAATGGAGGAAGTGGATCGAGACTTGTCTTTCATCTGTCAGGTTTTCTATTATTGTGAATGGCTCTCCTGCTGGTTTCTTTGGTTGCACCCGGGGCATAAGACAAGGTGATCCTTTGTCATCTTTCCTCTTTCTTGTTGTTATGGAGGGATTAAGTAGACTTATGCGCAGGGCAGAGGACCTTGGCTTTATTAAGGGTTTCAGAGTGGGTAGAGATTTAGCCCATCAGATGGAGATTTCTCATTTACTTTTTGCAGACGATACCCTGGTTTTCTGTGATGTTGATGTGTCTCAACTTCGTTATTTGAGGTGCATCTTAACTTGTTTTCAGGCGGTCTCCGGGCTAAAGTTCAATGTGGCTAAGAGTGTGCTTGTCCTAGTAGGGAATGTTCAGGATATCTCCTCCTTAGCTACAGTTCTTGGATGCAGAGTGGGTTCTTTTCCTATTCTTTATTTGGGGTTGCCCTTAGGGGTCTCTTCAAGGATGGTGGGGAGTTGGGATTCAGTGATTGACATGTATGCGAAGAGATTAGCAGGATAGAAAAAGCAATATTTGTCCAAGGGGGGTAAAGTTACTCTTATTAAGAGTACGTTATCGAGCCTTCCTACTTATTTTCTTTCTATGTTCCAAATCCCTTGTTCAGTTGCGGATAGGATTGAAAAAATTCAAAGGGATTTCCTATGGGGAGGAAAGGGAGATGAGTTCAAGTATCACCTTGTCAAATGGGAGCAAGTTTGCAAGCCTGTGAAATTGGGTGGACTTGGCATAAGATGAATAGTTCCTTTCAATCAAGCCCTCCTGGGTAAATGGTTATGGAGATATGGAAGGGAAAGACACCGTCCTTGGCGTAGGTTAGTTTCCTGTCGGTTTAGGGAAGAAGATGGAGGCTGGTCTACACGTCCGGTTATTCTCGTGGGCGGAGTAGGGATGTGGAAGTCTATTCGGAAGGGTTGGGACGCCTTTTCTGCTCATATCAGATTCAAAGTTCGTGATAGACGTCGCGTTCTGTTTTGGGAAGATCTTTGGTGTGGTGATCAGCCACTATCTCGTTCATTTCCTAGATTATTTAGTATTGCAGTTGATAAACATGCCTTTGTAGCTGATTGTTATCGTCTTGATAGCAGTGGGATTACGTGGGATGTGCACTTTCGACGCTCTTTTCAGGATTGGGAGATAGATGAGGTATGTGTTTTTTTGGATCTTCTGTATCGGCAAGAGGGTGTTGGCAAAGGAAATGATGATTTGATTTGGGTTCCTTCTTCCCACAGTCGTTTCGAAGTAAGATCCCTGTTCTTATGTCTATCTCATTTTGTTAAATATGTTTTCCCGTGGAAAACTATTTGGCGATCCATGGCTCCAACTAGGGTGGCTTTCTTTGTTTGGATTGTTGTTTGGGGAAAGATTTTGACAATTGATAATTTAAGGAAAAGGGGCAATTGTATTGTTAATCGGTGTTGTCTATGCAAGAAAAATGGGGAGTCTGTTGATTACCTCCTTATGCATTGCCCTGTGGCGAATGACTGTTGGAATCTTATTTTCGGGTTGTTTGGCATGTGTTGGGTAATGCAACGATCTACTAAGGAATTGATTCATGTATGGAGATGATGTCGCGTGAGAAGGGATGTACGCGATTTCTGGAGAGTCATCCCACATTGTGTTTTGTGGTGTATTTGGAAGGAGAGAAATAGTAGAATGTTTGAAGATAAAGAGTCGTCTACGGCAATGGTGAAACATCACATTCTTCGTTCTCTTTTCAATAATGTGAAGAGGAGTTCTTGCTCTTTTTCTGATGATTTAATTATTTTTTTGGATTCTTTGGGGCCTTAGCTCCGGTTCCATTTTTGTATAAGGGACACGTTCCCCTTTTGAACGCCTTTTTATGTTATTATTACTTATCAAAAAAGAAAAAGAAAAAAAGTAAGGCGATCTGAAGTATCAAATTTATTGTTTTATTTATAGTTTGACACTTCCACAATGTGGAGTGGAGTGCTGACTTGCTAGTTTAATATAGAGATTGTTAAGTTACGGAGCCAATATTTTTGACATGCTTTACATGGAGTTATAAGCTGTAACTTTTAGCCAACATGATTTGAAATTGTTAAACTATATTCAAGGTTTATTATAAATTTGTTTTTGACTTTTTTGATGGCCATACTTTTAGCAACCGAGAGCAACTTGTTATAGGAAGTGTGTTTAGAGAGCATGGACAGAATTTTAATTTAGCGTCCTTCAATGATATCTGCCCTCTTGAAAGGTCCCCAGGTCATTGTTGTACCATCTAACCTGAGCACACACACAATGGAGTCATAGACAGTCAAGTGAAATTAAGGCAGACAACTCCATTGACCGAGAGCAACTTGTTATAGGAAGTGTGTTTAGAGATCATGGACAGAATTTTAATTTAGCGTCCTTCAATGATATCTGCCCTCTTGAAAGGTCCCCAGGTCATTGTTGTACCATCTAACCTGAGCGCACACACAATGGAGTCATAGACAGTCAAGTGAAATTAACGCAGACAACTCCATTTGTTCAAACCACTTCCATTGAGTCTAAGCAGGTTAGCATGGTTTATCGTATCAGGCCAAATATAAAGTACACATCCAATTGGCAGGCAATAGTCATGCTTCTAATCCTCCAAGCTTCCAACAAGTGACGTAATTTCCTCTTCTGCCTCTCTTAGGGGTCCGGCGGAGTTTCAGACCCACTGTGGCTGATCAAGTGAAGAGGTCTTGTCAATAAATTTTTTTCTTTTATTACCACTTAAAAACTTCAGCACTTAAAATTCAGCTCTTAAAATTTTCAGTACTTAATTTTTTCATTTTTATCAAACAGCACTGAAGTCCAGCTTCGTAGAGTTATGGCCATCTTCTAAGAAAAGTTTAGGATTTGTCTTCGGTTTCGATGTCTAGTTTTGCTGGGCTTAGAGTTATGGCAACAACCAGCCATATGTCCACAGAAATGTAGTTCCCTTGTTTTGCCGGGCTTAGAGTCATTGCCTTTGCATCCTCAAGATGGCCTTGAAGAGTTTCTAGCTAGTTATAGAACTTATTGATATGTCCACAGAAATGTAGTTCCCCTGTTTAGATTTGTAGGTCATGGATGTTAAAGCAGATTATTTAGTTAAAAAGGAAATTCCAGATTGAATGACTTTTTTCGAAATTCAATTTTTCTTTAGTCTTAGAGCGCATTGTATGCATGACGAAAGGATCATGCAAAATGTCATCCAAAATGAGCGATGAATTATGGAAAAAATGAAGTGAGGACAAATGTGCAAATAAAGGTTATAAAGTATTAGACCTTTTTGGTTATGTTCTTTGAAACTAATATTAAAAAATAGTACAAAGCGAAAATAGTTTTCAAGAATAGGAAAAGTGTTCTCTGAAATTGAATATTTTCTTATCTCTGTTTACAAAGACTAATTTTGAAAAAAATTTTATCAAACAATTTTTTTTTTTTGATCGTTCAAAAGGGGAACTCATCCCAAGAGATATACAAGATATGGTCCTAAAGAACCCAAAAAGTCCACAATCTCATCAAAAGATATACAATTTCTCCCCATCACTCAACTAAAAAGAGAACTAATAATAGAAAATTTCAGCGCCCCAATGGAGGTTTCCTCCCCATCAAAAGATCTTTTATTTTGTTCTTTCCAAATGCTCCACCAAATACAAAGCGGGGTCACCCTTCAACAGACAAGAGCATGGCCCCCCACCCTCTGGCCCCTCCAAACGTCAATCAACTCACTTGAAGACCAAGGCATAACCCAATGGATGCCAAAAAGACCAGAAATAAGACTCCAGCAATCATAAGCCATAGGACAATGCAAAAGAAGGTGATCCACAAACTCTCCATCATTTTTACGCATACAATACCAGTTGACTGTGGTCTGTATTCTCTTTCTCAAATTGTCTAGAGTCAGAATCTTGCCCCAAGCCTTGGTCCAAACAAAAAAGGCCACTGAGAGGGGCCTTCGAACGCCAGACCGTCTTCCACGGGAAATTTGAACCATGAAAGTGAGCAAGGCAAAGGAACAAATAACGAACATCAAACCTCCCCTGTGGAGAAGGCATCCAAACCAAGGAATCAGACCCTTTCCAAATCCTGTCTGTACAAAAGATCCAACATGCCAAAGACATCATCAAGTTCCCAATTCTGAAAAGAATGCCGAAAACGCACATCCCACGTAAGCCTTCCGCTATCAGTCGATAGCAGTCCGCTACCATAGCATGTCTATCCGCAACAATCCTAAAAAGTCTTGGAAACAAACAAGACAACAGGCAATCACCACACCAATAATCCTCCACACCAATAATCCTCCACACCAATAATCCTCCCAGAACTGGACATCCTTGCCCTTCCGAACTTTGAATCTAATATGCTTAGAAAACTCATCCTATCCCTTTCGAATAAACTTTTTCACTCCCACGCCAACAACAGATCTAACCGGCTTGGAAGACCATCCCCCTCTCTCCTCCCCAAAACGACACACTATAACCCTCCTCCATAAACAATGTCTCTCACTACCAAATCTCCATAACCACTTCCCTAGGAGCGCCCTATTAAAGGGAATCATCCTCCTAATACCAAGACCGCCTATCTGAAGAGGTTGGCAAACATGTTCCCACCTGACAAGATGATACTTGAACTCCTCACCCCGACCACCCCAGAGAAAATTCCGTTGGAGATTTTTGAGTCTTTCAGCAATAGTGCGCGGGATCTGAAAGAGGGATAGGAAGTATGTTGGGAGACTAGACAAGGTGCTCTTCATAAGAGTGACTTTCCCACCCTCCGAGAGATATTGCTTCTTCCATCCAACCAATCTATTCTTGAACCGCTGAATCACTGGATCCCAAACATCCACCCATAGGGACAAGCACACTTTTACCCACGTTAACTTTCAACCCTGACACTGCCTGAAAACAAACCAACACACACCTTAAATATCTGAGTTGGGACACGTCCACATCACAGAAAACCATAGTATCGTCTGCAAAAAGTAAATGAGAGATATCCATCTACTCCCCTGAGTTCGGACCCATCCTGAATCCCTGATAAAAGCCCAACTCCACTGCCCTCCTCATCAATCTGCTAAGGGCCTCCATAACAATAATAAATAGAAAGGGAGAAAGGGGATCCCCTTGTCTCAAACCTTGAGAGCTTCCAAAAAAGCCGGATGGGGACCCATTCACCATAACAGAGAATCTAACAGAAGAAATACAAGTTTCAATCTATTTCCTCCATCTCTCCCCAAAACCCATCCTCCCCAGAAGATATAACAGGAAATTCCAACTAACATGATCATATGCTTTCTCAATATCAAGCTTGCACAGAACTCCTGGAACATCGCTCCTCAACCTAAAATCTACACATTCGCTGGCAATGAGAGCGGAATCCAGAATCTGCATGCCCCCAATAAATGCATTTTGAGACTCTAAGATGATACCGTCCAGAACCTCCCTCAATCTCAAGGCGGAACTTTAGCAATAAGCTTTTACATGCAACCCAACAGACTTATTGGTCTAAAGTCCTTAACATCTGACACAACTCCTTTCTTAGGAATGAGAGCAATGAAAGATGCATTCAGCGACTTTTCGAACCTGATTGCACATAAAACTGTCTTGGTATGTTACTTTTGTTATTTTATTACTTTAAAACGAGTGAAGTGCCTATATCGAAAACTTTATTTTTTGTAATATATGTATATTTTTAAATTCTAAAAAGTAAAAGAATACTGAATAGTCTGAATAGTTAGCCATGTTTCCATGTCTTTTGATATGGGGATTTGATAAATCTGATGCTTAGACACATAAGTATCTGTACCCATCACTTGTGGGAATTTTGCTCACCTTTTTATATGATCCGTTTAGTGATTGAGAAGGATTAAATTTCAGCATGAGGTTGTTGGGTGACTTATCTCTCTGATTGGTTCCTTTTCTGTATTTTATGTCCTCCTTTGGTTTGTCTGTTTTGGTTCCTTTTCTGTATTTTTTGTCCTCCTTTGGTTTGTCTGTTTAGATAAGTTTTACCTCTATAAATATAATATCTGTAGTTTGTACTACTAATAAATCATAGTGAATGATATACATGACAATGGGATATCAGGTTGATGTGTCTTATAGGTTGATGGAAGAAAATAAACTACATGTTCGGGTTTCACCTAAATGGTAAAATATGAAAACCGCTGAACGCAGGTGTTTGCTGATCCTTAATGTGATATTTCACCAGTAACTTAAATTTGAGTTATTGGTGAATTTTCTTATATTCTTTATGGTTCTCTAGATTTCCTTGGTAAACATAGTATTTATGGAGTAGATCTATCCATTGATTTATTTTATTGAGTGAGTGGTATTACTATTTTGGAAGGATTGATGAATGCTCGTGTTATATTAATCAAAGCAGCATCAGCAACTGTGCACTGTATTTTTTTTTCCCCTCTCAATTTCCAACATGCATAAGAGCTTTCTGGTTTCTTCTGCTTAATTATTAAAAGTTGCCCTATTGAACGCCTTTTTAATTTATTATTACTTATCAAAAAAAAAAAATTATTAAAAGTTGTTTGTAAGGGGGACATTGACTTCTGCTCATGTTAATCCAAATCTTTTTTCCCTTTCCAGGAGATGTATGCTCAGGCTGGGCCTCAATTCAGAGATGAACTTCAGCGTCATAATCTTCCTGCATCAATGGTGATTTTATCACTTTGGATTTTAATCTGCCATTTCTATCCTTATACTTCCTAGTTCCTCTATCTTAAGCATATTAAGTTATATTTATGAATGTTTTCGTATCCGGTGATGTTACAGATATATATTATCTCTCAGACTTTTTGAGTTGATGTTATTGCAATATATTACTCAAATTTGTTTTCATATATGATATTGAACTGCAGGTAAGAGATATAAATGCCAAGTTAGAGAGGATTGAACCAAAAAATCATTCTTCTGATGGACTTGCAAGTAACTATGCTGTTGTTGAGAGTAAGCCTGCCAGCCTTAATCCCAAAAGAAGCAGTCCGAAGGCCAAGAGTTCCACAAGAGAGGTTTCTCTCTTTGGAGGTTAATATATTTCAACCTTAACTTCTGGATATTTTGACATTTCTTAATATATGCTTATATTCATGTGAAGTTTTCTTTCACAGCTTCATGTCATTGTCCGGTTCCTAATTGCATAAATACCTGATCCAGTGCCTTGTATCTATGTGTTGTTAGCTTCTTATTTTTGGGTCATTTGTCAGTTGATCTAATCTGCTTTAGGCTTTAAGCTTCTTATATTCATATGTTCTTTCACAACTGAAGATTGGAGCAGGATGCTGTTTGATGTGGGGACTTTTTTCTGCATTTTAAAATCTATTTGGAAGGAACATGGATGGTTTTTGAGGGGGGAGTAAACTGTGTTTGAAGTGGTGATTACTTGTATTGTTGACCTTATTATTATTATTATTATTTTCTCCTTGGTTAGTTATTGTTCTTATTCGCTAAGAGGGAAATGTTTGATCCATTAAATTTTATCAGATGATTTGATATTTTTAGGACTTTTAGCTGATTTGGTCTCTGCTCTAGACAATAAATCTGCCACAAAGTCTGTGACGCGGATAAAATTCCAGTAAATGCTGTTGTGACTTGGCCTTTAAGTAGTAAGGTTTCCACTATTTCTTTTGTTTACCTTGCTTTTTTAATTAAATGATTCACTACATCTCTATAATTGTACATGCATAAATTGAAATATTTGTTACTGTAGTCACGAAATAAGTAAGATAAACTTTTAAGTTTGTGATGTTTTGAGATACCTGCGAGGTGTTGTATTCTTATAGTCTTTTCCTTTATTTTGTTTTAACATGACAATCTTTTCGTTGTTGGTGGAGGATATAAAGAATATTAGTGGAGAGTTGCCGAAACCTTTGTGATTGTGATAATATGTTTTTATATATATGCATGTATATACAATGGTTGGAATTATTGAATGGATTTAGATGGTGATTAAGAATATGCGTGAAATATACCAAATGTTATTATGTCGACATAGAGTCTGTCCTTTTGCTGTTGAATGATGTGTCAAATTAAGTACAAATTACTTCTGGAAATGATGATAATTATTTTTTTTTCCTGGAAATTGAAATGATAATTGATGACATTGCAACAGTTGTCATTATTGGTGCATGCTTTTTCTTTGTGCTGTGCAGGAGATAGTGATGTCGCTGAGAAACTAGTTGAACCAATCAAAGTGTACTCAGAAAAGGAGTTAACAAGGGAGTTTGAAAAAGTTGCTTTAACTCTTGCACCAGAAAAAGATTGGTCCATCCGTATTGGAGCCATGAAAAGAGTTGAAGCTCTTGTTATTGGAGGTTTGTTTGCCTCTATCCTCCTCTTTAATTTATAATATTATAAGGGTCACAGTTTTATCTTTTATTGTGTGAGTGGATTGTGATCTTCTAATAAAAGATACTTGATCATTGTGCGCTGAAAGAAAACTGTTTTAGAACAAAGAGATTGTGAATTAAAATAGCTGGAAAAATGTGAATGAGGTGTTAAAGAGATGACTATTGCTTTTATTGCAAAATGCATTCAGAAAATGATGACAAGTATGTTTTTTGTCCAACATGCTTTTAGTTTAAAGGTATGGGTGATTAGTTGGTTTTGTACTTCTGCATTAAGTTTATTGAATAATTCGGAAATGTTGGATCACATGGATGGACTAAAGTAGAATCTTTTTGCCAGTTCACTGGTCATTTCACACGCCAGGCTTTTTGGCAATTCTACATTATAGAGAAGCCTCTGTAGATTGTTAGCAATGTTTTATATTTTATGCGTACATAGTGCTGTACTTATGTATGTGATTCACTGCCTAGTCTTCTGGATGCAACTTTGCCTATTTGTTGATTTGGACAAGCTTCCAAGTCTCTGGAATTTTTTCCAGATTTTGTTTCCTGAAGTTAATGTTACCACCAGCGCCCATCTTCAGCTCCGTGTATTCACGAGTCCATGAATTTTTGAAATTGATTGAGGAGAATTGAAGACACGTATCTCTGCTATCCCCACCAAAATTACTCATTCCATGCTACATTTTGATCATTAATCCCCATTGCTACCTGTTTTGTTTACTGATTGACAACATGCTCATGACTGAAATAAACATCATACCTAAACTGCTGTGGTCTTTTCCTTGCATCACATGGTCTCTCATTGCTAGGTTGCAACCAAATTGGTTGTCTGGTGTACTCCATAAGCAAGTCTTAGAAGCTTCAATCTATTCACTATCGAGCTAGGATAGAAAATAAAGACAACTGGTAATGAGGAAGCTGGAGAGGATTCCTCTATTGGTCCCTTTTGGATGAAAGACAAACCCAGAGGCATCCCTGCATTGACCAAAAGTGGTATCAAAATTTTATTTTATTTTTTTCCTTTTACCACAATTCTATCTAGTAGCCAATTTTGGCATGATATTGAGAAGCATCACAAGTAAACTTGTCATTTGTAAATTGGACATTATTCATGTCAGAGAAACATCCTTCCTTGATTTTCAGTACATGCCGAGAATTTCAACCACAATTATAGTAAAAAAATATTGTTTTTTGTGTTCTTTAATCTCTGGAAACCCCAAGGAGCTTTCTATTTACCACTCTGGTGAAGAAAGATAGTGTGATACACTTAATTAATTAAGCCTGCCATTTCTGTCTCACTTAACTTGTATTGAAGAATTGCAATGTCAAATGGTTGCTGTTTCGCTGTTCGTGTCTTGCCCATTTTGAAGGACATTTGTTGGATCTTGGAGGACATTTGTTTAGATCTTGAACCTAATTTTTTTACTTATATCCTTGTGAGGCATCAAATTGACTATTATATGTCAATTTGTACTCAGTCAGACAGCAGCTAGTACACACACCTTATCTACTCTGCACCATTTTCCGATATCAGTCCCCGCTTTGTGAACAATATAATACGTTTTTGTCTTGCCTACTCATTAATATATATATATATATATATATTTTTTTTTTCTGAATGGGTTTTGTATTATAAACCCTACTCATTAATTTATTTAATCGATTGTTTACACACGTCCTTTTGAGGTATCAAGTTGACTGTTATATGTCCTTTTGATGTACTCAGTCAGACAGTAACTAATGCACACACCTTAGCTTCTTTGCACAGTGTTGACTCTGAAGTTTGAACCAAAAAAAAAGGAAGAATAAGACGCGACAGAATAATTGCATTTCTGTTTCTGATCTGTGAATGATTCTTCTTATTATTATTTTTACCTGGCAATGGTCTGTAAGTTAGGAGTTAGTGTGGGTTAGGGGAAAAAGGGGATTCAAACCTAGGAACATAGCGTGGGGGGCACTTAAGGCCTGACCCTTTACCACTCGATCAACACTGCCACACCTGATCTGTGAATGATTCTCACATATTCCAACGATTGCACAGCTTTGTCTGTGTGCATCTTTTTCTTAAGGAAAAAAATAATCATTTTGGAACTTTTATCGTTGATTAATGAGGAGATGCTGGGTTCTTTTTATTTTGTAGAATATGGCACGGGGCTTGTAAACATGCTTTCTATTGTGAATGTGAATCTATCTATCATAATCTTTTTAATCCTTTCAGGTGCAACTGATTACCCATGTTTTCGCGGACTTCTAAAGCAACTTGTTGGCCCTTTAAGCACACAATTGTCTGATCGAAGATCTAGCATAGTGAAGCAGGTGTGGTAGCAGTTTCTTGTATATTTAAATGTCAGTTCGAAAGTCCTTCTCTGGGTTGTGGGGTTCGAGTGAAGTAAGATAAGCTATTGATAGACTGCAGCTGCTTCTTTTTTCTTTTGTTTGTTTGTTTGTGTAAATCTGAGGAATTTTTTGTGATGCCTTAAACTGGCTAGGACCTTTTTTGGTTTACTAAAATGTTTTCTTGAACTGTTTACTTTGTTTTTCAAACTGTGACAATGATATTTTGATCAATCATTTCCATCTTTGTTTTCCTAATTTTATTTTACTTATTTCTTGTTTTGGGTTGGGATTGTTCTTGAATTAGCACACAAAATTTTATGAACCAAATATTAGTATACACTCAAAACTGCATTGGCAGGAATTATCATAGATGCAGTTTTCTGTCATCCAATATGTGATGTGCATGTGCACATCTGGTTCTATATATGATGATGTTTATGTGTGTGAGCATACGTGTGCAAATGCCATTGAGATACTTCAAACCCTTGAACCTCCTGTGGGTGCTCGTCTGTGGATGGACGATAATGTTCTAAAGGCTTGATTGTATTATTGGATACACAAGTAGATTCAATGACTAGTTTCACGTCTTTTTGTCGCTTGGTCTGAATCCCAATGAAAGGGATAATCTTGGAGTTTTTAAACTGACTCATCGAAGTCAACTGTTGAGAACTCACGGGCATTTTTGTATTTTGGTGTACTGTCTTCAGCTGTACATGTTGTTGAGTTGTTTTTATTATTTATTATATTTATTTATTTATTTGTTTTTTTCTGCTAGGCTTGCCATCTATTGAGCTTTTTATCTAAAGAGCTTCTGGGAGATTTTGAGGCGTGTGCTGAGATGTTCATTCCCGTAAGTACAAGTTCTTCCTGACTATTGTTCGCTTAACATGCTCAAACATCCTTCTGACTATGGTCTAACCTTTAGGTTCTTTTCAAGCTCGTTGTGATAACTGTACTTGTAATTGCAGAGTCTTCAGATAACTGCATAAAAACGGTAATGTCTAAAGGTGCTATTTTATAGTATTATTTCTTCTTTACACATATACTTCCTTCTTTTGTAATTTATTAGACTTTTCAGATGTTGCGTAACTGCAAAGTTTCCCGTGTACTTCCCCGTATAGCTGATTGTGCAAAGAATGATCGTAATGCAATACTTCGTGCAAGGTATCATTATGTTTCTTCTGTAGGGAAAAAGTCAAGTTTGTGTCATTGTTTCAGAGTCGCTATAATCTTTTTTTCCCCTATCTCTTTTGCAGATGTTGTGAGTATGCACTTTTGATACTAGAATTTTGGGCTGATGCACCTGAAATACAACGTTCAGCCGATGTCTACGAGGACTTTATAAAATGTTGTGTAGGAGATGCAATGAGTGAGGTATGAATGTTGGAGATTTTTCTTCTTTTCATATGTCTGAGCATCTGGTAGCCCAGTCTTTAAAATAGCCTGGGTGCTGAGGGATAATTTTGATCAGAGGGCCAGCATGCAAATAAATTTCACGCATTTACTAATTATGGGAATACTTTGGTTAATTAATGTTTATGTTTGTCTTATTTGTGAAATGCTTATAAACTGTCATTGTCTTAAGGTATTGCTAAATCTGTTGCGAAGAACTATGTCCTTTGTTGTTTGTTAACTGTCAGTTTTATTTCATGTTTCTTATGTGTTCTTAATAACCATGGTCTTTTAAATTTAACAGGTAAGATCAACTGCAAGAACTTGTTACAGAATGTTTGCAAAAACTTGGCCAGAGCGTTCCCGTCGATTGTTTTCATCCTTTGATCCTGTCATTCAAAGGGTAAATGTTTCGCTTTAACTTTTTATTTACTAATGCTCCACCCTTCCCCCAAAAAGAATCTGTTGGAAATCATTGTTATAATTATAAATTAATGTCATCATATTTGCATAGATAATAAACGATGAGGATGGTGGCATGCATAGACGATATGCTTCTCCTTCCCTTCGCGAGAGAAGTTCACAAATGTCATTTACCCCTCAAACATCTGCTGCGTCAAATTTACCTGGATATGGAACTTCAGCTATAGTTGCAATGGATAGAAGTGGAAGTTTACCCTCTGGGACGTCTCTCTCTTCTGGGCTACTTCTATCACAGGCAAAGTCAGTTGGTAAAGCTGCAGAGCGTAGCCTGGAAAGCGTGCTGCATGCAAGCAAACAGAAGGTTACAGCTATTGAAAGCATGCTTAGAGGTTTGGATATATCTGAGAAACACAATACTTCAACCCTCCGATCATCTAGTTTGGATCTAGGTATTTAATTTCTTTCCAATTGAATAGGTTTTTCCATTACAAATTCAGTTAGATTATCAGTTTTTAGGGTCATCCATTGATGCAATGGTGAAGTATTCTCTAAATGAATAATGATATAAAATTGAACTGTATTTATTGTTTGAATATCTTGGGAACCGCTTAATTTTTCTCTTATTGCCCCTAGTGCAGGAGTCGACCCTCCATCATCTCGTGATCCACCATTTCCTCTTGCTGTTCCTGCTTCGAATAATCTTTCAAACTCTTTAGTGGTAGATACAACTACATCTGGTATGTCTAAAGGTAATAACCGTAATGGTGGCTTGATGTTGTCTGACATCGTCACTCAGATTCAGAATTACAAAGATCCCAGTAAATCATCGTACCACAGTACTGTGGGAACTGAGTCTTTTACAACACTTCCATCGTACTCAGCTAAGAGAACTTATGAAAAACTACAAGAAAGAGGTTCCTTAGAAGAGAATACTGATGCTAGGGAGGCCAGGCGATCCACGAACTGGCAAATTGACCGGCAATACTTGGATGCACCCTTTAAGGATGCGAATTTCAGGGATTCACAGAGTAGTCACATTCCCAATTTTCAGAGGCCACTTTTGAGAAAGAATGTTACTGGACGCATGTCTGCAAGCAGGAGGAGGAGTTTTGATGACAGCCAGCTGTCATTGGGGGAGATGTCAAGCTATGTGGAAGGTCCAGCTTCTCTTAATGATGCTTTGAGTGAGGGACTCAGTCAAAATTCAGACTGGAATGCTAGGGTTGCTGCATTTAATTATCTCCACTCTTTGCTGCAGCAAGGTCCAAAAGGTATTCAAGAAGTTACCCAAAGTTTTGAGAAGGTAATGAAGTTGTTTTTCCTGCACTTGGATGATCCCCACCACAAAGTTGCACAGGCAGCTCTTTCAACGCTTGCAGATATTATTTCAGCTTGCCGGAAGCCCTTTGAAAGTTACATGGAGAGGATCTTACCCCATGTTTTTTCACGGTTGATAGATCCAAAGGAATTAGTAAGGCAACCTTGCTCAACAACTTTGGAAATTGTTGGAAAAACTTATGGTATAGATTCCCTTTTACCGGCTTTGCTCCGGTCACTAGATGAACAACGGTCGCCGAAGGCAAAATTGGCTGTTATTGAGTTTGCTATTAGTTCCTTCAACAAGCATGCCATGAATTCCGAGGGCTCTGCTAATATTGGCATCCTAAAGTTATGGCTTGCTAAACTGACGCCATTGGTTCATGATAAGAATACAAAACTGAAGGAAGCAGCTATTAGGTGCATAATATCAGTTTACTCCTACTTTGATTCGGTAGCAGTTTTAAATTTTATTCTTAGTTTATCAGTTGAAGAACAAAATTCCCTGAGACGAGCCCTTAAGCAGTACACACCTCGTATAGAAGTGGACTTGATGAACTTTTTGCAGAACAAAAGAGAGAGACAGCGCCTCAAGTCCTCTTACGATCCATCTGATGTTGTTGGGACATCTTCTGAAGAAGGATATATTGGGGTGTCAAAGAAGAGTCACTTCTTTGGTAGGTATTCTGCTGGTTCGATTGATAGTGACGGTGGTAGGAAGTGGAGTTCTGCACAAGAGTCAACCCAGATCACCGGCTCTATTGACCAAACATCATCTCATGAAACTAATGACCACTTGTATCAGAGTCTTGGCACTGGTTCTAACAGTGAGATTCATAGTTCCAAAAACAATGACCTGAAATACATGGCTGATGCCACAAGTGAAAATATGGGATCCTGGACTGGCCGGCTAGAAAGTATGGGCAACAGTGTAAACAAGGAGGCTTCTTCCACACCACATTTGAATATCAATGGTCTGATGAGCTCTGACCATGGAGGGGTCACTGCAGGCTTTAGGCTTGATAATGAGACTGACCTGGAAATTAATCACTCAAAACAAACAGCTTTAGGAATCAACTCTGCTGCAGACACAGGAACTAGCATCCCTCAAATTCTTCATCTTGTAAGTTCTGTATGGCCAATATTTCTTTTTTAGGTTGTCAAATTTCTATAAAGTGTTATGCGCTGGATTGGTTTTTATTCACTTGTACAAGAAAAATAGAATATCATTGCAAGTCATGGGGGTTCTTGATCCTATTTTCTTTTACTTTTTTGGTAGATTTGCAATGGGAATGATGAAAGCCCAACTGCAAGCAAGCGTAGTGCACTTCAGCAGTTAGTTGAAGCTTCTGTGGCAAATGATCAATGCATTTGGACCAAGGTATGATAAGTTTCTATATTTCACTCTCCTCTCTCTCTCTCTGCAATGTGTATGTATGCCTCTAGGTCGGAAAAAAATAATAATTGAATTTTGACCTCAAGTGTTCAGCTAATGTCTCAGAGTGCTCTGTTGTTCAAAATCTGCTGAAGACAACCTCACTGGGAGTTGATTTTGGTTTTTTTTGCAATCACATCAACCTTGTTAACGTATTTATAGATTTGATAGGGCAATCTCCTTCCAACCTCTCTATCACCTACTATTCTGCTAACTATTGCTATTCAAGGGAGATGTAGTTGTCCACCATAGTTGTGTGCTAACAAGTTCATAATCCGTTGCATCTCTTAAATCGAGTTTTTTAGCATCTAAAATTTCCGTATGGTGTTTTTAAATCCATAACTGAGGGAGGATAACTTCTAGTGGTGGTTAGGGTTCCTGAAACAACTGTTTATGGTGAACTTAAAGTTCACATTTAACTTGTGTAATATTTTGCCAAAACCTGACATGTTGTGTCGAATAGATCGTTTTATGTCTAATAGACATCTTTTCTGCTTTGAAAGTCTTATCCCAGGACACAATCTAGGCCGTAATTAGAGTTGTGCTATTTTTGTTATAAAACCCTAACTTTTTGTCATTACAACTTTTTAAAATACAAAGCTACTGTATCTGAAAACACCATTATACTTAAATTAAGCTTTCAACAGGAAAAGGGTTTGGGTTTTGTTGATGCTCAAAAAGACTGACTATAGTTACTCCAGTTTTTGTTACACCAATGTCTCTCTAGTAATTTTTGTTTTGTTGGATTTATTATGCTTGCAAACTGTAGATTTATAAATTACGTACGCATTGATATTATTTTTTTGTATCATCTGATCTCACCCATCACTTTGGATGACTCATTGTCCCAGATTTGAGCAATGGGGTGTTGTGTTGTAATTTGAAATGATTTTTATTCATTATTTGCATTTAAATGGTTTCAAAAATATTTTGCAATATTAAATACTTAAACATAAGATATATTTTTGGTGTATTTGCAGTACTTCAATCAGATTTTGACAGTTGTACTTGAGGTTTTGGATGATTCTGAGTCAACTATCAGAGAACTTGCTCTTACATTGGTAGTAGAAATGCTAAGGAATCAGGTATGGTGTGTGTGTATATATATATATATATATATATAAAATATCGTTTTTTCTAGTTCTTCATCAGATGCTTTTCCAGCTTGTTTACATCTTGAGATTTTGATTTTGTTGTTTGGCCAAAAGGAGAGGGAAAAAAGAAAAAGAATTGGGTGTATATATCAGCATTGTACAGTTTTTAAAATTTTATTTTTTCAAAGTATCATTTTTATTCCTGCTTTATGTTCTACATGATTTTTATGTGTTTTGTCTCCAGAAAGATGCTATGGAAGATTCTGTTGAGCTTGTAATCGAAAAACTGCTTCATGCTACAAAGGATACTGTTCCTAAAGTAACTTTATTCACCTGAGCTACTTTATGTATAATTTTCATCTTTCACTGTCTCATGTAATGATTCCACAACTCAGGTTGCGAACGAAGCAGAACACTGTTTGACTGTTGTGCTGGCTAAATATGATCCATTCAGATGTCTAAGTGTCAGTAATTCTGAAATTCTATTTTGCTTATCTAGATCCCAGGAATGGCTATGTTTGGCTTTAGTTCCCTTGTATTTATGTGTCTTGATTTTTCCATTTACTGGCATTGCAGGTTATTGTCCCTTTATTGGTTACCGAAGATGATAAAACTCTTGTTACGTGTGTAAACTGCTTAACAAAGGTACATCTAAAAACCTAGTGATTAGAATGGACATGCTGTTTCTAGAGATCCTTCTCTCTCTCTCTCTCGCTCCCCTGGTAGATGTCCATATTTGGTATAGTTTGTGCAGTACCTAAGCAACTAATTATTTTTATACAACCCTTGTGATGTGGCGGTATTTGACAATATTTAATCGTAAAAAATTGCAGTAACAAATACTCACATAGTGGTTATTTTGTCAAATTTCATAAACTAGAAGTGAACAACCACAACATAGCTCGACTTGGAAAAAAAGGTTGACGTTAGTTGACAGCTATAGTAATGCACACATATGCTAATGCAATGGAGTTAATAGTAAAACCCAGCAGAAATTATAAAGAATAATAATAATGGAATTATAGCTATGAGCTGTCTTCTCTGAAGTTCCTGTCATTTGTCGTCTGATTTAAGTTAATCAACTAGAGCTAGGTTAAATTAAGGGTTGTTTTCTTTGTTTATGTAGACTTATCCTCCATTCAGCCGTTGTATTATTATTATTTTTTTCTTGCTTCCATCTTAATATGAATTTTCAGCGTGTGGGGGAGAATATCTCAATAGTATGATAATAAGAAAGGGGTAAAAAATTGGATTTTTTGGGAATATACTTACTAGTTGATGTGTATAATTTATGTTGGGTATTTTTTTTATAAATATTAGGGATTTGGATTGTTTGGCATCTAGGTTAGTAGTTGTTTGGTTTTAGGTTTGTTGATTCTAATTCTTCACGTTTATTGACATTTTTTCTATTTAAAGTTTAGAAATTCCTTTTTGCTAGAAATTAATTCTAAGTTTTTTTTTATCCGTCAGAACTTTCCATTTTAAAAGTTTTTATAGTATCAAATTCTTATTCGGAGTACAGTTACAAGCATGTCTGGCTGGTTATTTACTTTAGAGAATTGGGGTAGGTTCAAATTACAACTCGTGTAAGAATAAATGTTTTTCTACGGATTGAAATTTAGTAAAAAGTGCCAAAGAGGCATGGATAACTTTGTACGCCCCTCAAATTTTGTTATATGGACTTGAATCGTGTCCAGTATATGTCTAAGCTTGGATTTTATCAAAAAATTTCCAAACTTAAGGATACAGAGACGTGTCTAAATATTCACATTATTTTATATTTTTCAATTATTTTCTAGACTAAACTAACATTTTAAAAGTGTTTCTAGTTTCACTTATCAAAAAAAAAAAAAAAAAAAGTGTTTCTAGTTTCAAATTCTTATTCGGAGTACAGTTACAAGCATGTCTGGCTGGTTATTTACTTTAGAGAATTGGGGTAGGTTCAAATTACAACTCGTGTAAGAAAAAATGCTTTTCTACGGATTGAAATTTAGTAAAAAGTGCCAACGAGGCATGGATAACTTTGTACACACCTCAAATTTTGTTATATGGACTTGAATTGTGTCCAGTATATGTCTAAGCTCGGATTTTATCAAAAATTTCCAAACTTAAGGATACAGAGACACGTTTAAATAGTCACATTATTTTATATTTTCAATTATTTTCTAGACTAAACTAACATTTCAACTCGTTCTAAAGCGACGATCTAGCAAAAGGAACACGATAAGGTAGTGTTAAATACTGTAGAATCATATATGTCAAACACATATCCTGCACCCATGTCTAAATACCGTGGGTCGAACATGGGTACAACACACATCATGAATTTTTAAAGAGTCCATGTAACATAGCCCTCAACAACTTATTTCTAGGATCCATGTTTTATGAGTCTAACCATTGGATTGAATGTCCCTCTCATGCTTGTCAAGCATGTTAAAGATCAGCTTAATTACTACTGAGCCTTAGCTCAAGTGGTATCTCATACTCACATACCCAATTTGTGCACACAACCACCATATTGATTCTATTAGGCTTGAACCCTCGACGAAACAAGGTGTTGGGATATTTTGGGCTCAACTATCTTACCTCCTTCAAAAATAAAATCTAGTCATTAAGAAATTCATAGTCGTCTCATCCAAATCATGATCTAAATCGAAGGTCTGTTTTGATAATTTATTAAGAGGTATATGTGTTTGTGGATCAGATAGGACAATTATATCCGATTAACTTGGTATTTGGTGTGCATGTCAAGCATGATCAGGGGCGGAAATAGGTTCCCTATAAATAATGAGTCACAAAATAGTAAAAAGATGGGTAAAGTGCAATAAACCCCCCCTCAACTTGCCCCAAGTGCAACTAACCCCCCTCAACTACAAATAACCCCCTCCAACTATAAGATTGGTTAGTTTTTAGTACAGAGAAGGTTATTCCGGTTCACTTTCATCACTGGTAATTGGTAAAGACGTTTTTACCCTTTACATAAAAGGTTGTTACTCCGTATTTAATATTGAGGTATTGTTATAGAATTGATTAAATAACGTGGGACCAGTGTAATAAGAACCACTAAAATTTTGACACCTATACAACCTTATCACAATAAAGCAATGAGACTGAGAATTTGACAACATAGGGCAATTATCACCTCCACCACTCATCAATTTCTTGGTGTCAAGGAAAAAAAAATCTCGGCATCAACAGATACCCATGGCAATTGCACGCCTTTCCTGACAACTCCATACCCTAATCTGTACATTCTCATCCTCCGGCAACACAACCTTCTATGCCTCTTCCTTCATCATCTTCTTAAAAGCCCCTCTCTTATCATCTTCTTCACCATCTACACCACCTGGATCAAATATCTGATACCTTTGAACAGAGTTTTTGCCCTTTCAAACAGATTAATGTGATTCGATTTTGGTTCTGATTTGGATTCCAATTTGGTCCACTCTAAATGTTGCTGAATCCATCCCTGTCATCTGCGAACTACTTCGCTCAAGCCCTAATTCAGAATTACAAACTAGCCACAACTCCCACAAAACTTCCAATTACCGATACCATGATCTCCAACACTAAATCAGTACCCCATCCGAACCCAACCAGGCTTTGCACCATTCACCGGAGTCATTGTGTCCAGCTGCCGACCACTTCCCAATCGCACACCTTAAATTTCCAACCCATCTCACCACCGACACAGCAAACCACCAGCCTCGTCGTAGCATCAGCGCCTTTGTCGGAATTGCATCATCATTCCAAATCTTGGCCAAGCATTGCATCCTCATCGCCTGGATCTTCCATCGTCCTCGCCAGAATTGCACAAGAACACTAACATATAGACGGAGGTAGAGAAAGGTTCAATTTATATATATATATATATATATATATATATATATATATATATATATATATATATATATATAGATAGATAGATAGAGTTAGAGAGAGAAAGAGGAGGAGAGGGATGGAGTTTAGGATTAAATAAACAGAGGTGGGGTTTGTGCTCATTTGGGTATAGTTGAGGGGGGTTTATTGCACTTTACCCTAAAAAGATTTAATATGCGGCCCACCGAAACTTATAAAAACCTCAATGTGAGTCTTTTTTAGAAAATCAAAATTTGAAGGAAGAGGACAAAAACTTCAAATATTGTTCCTACACTTATTATTCTTGTTGTGCACTCGTTCTGTTTTGAAATGCTTTTGCTTTATAAGTTATAACAAATCTTTTTAGATCCACCCTCTGGAAACACAATACATTTTATAATCAATGCTTTTGTGCTGCAAGGAAGGCATTCTCCCCTCCTATTTTTTAGTTATTTATTGTGCTTTGCCCATATTTTAAAAAAAAAATTATTATTATTAGAAAAGAAATTTAATAATTGGGCTTGAATGATCTATGAATATCACAATTCCAATTCACTTGTGGTTTTCTGCATGGCTGGTTTTCTAACGTTAATACTTTTATAACAAAATAAGCAAATTAATTATCTTGCTAGACATTTTCCTGACCTGCAGTAGTTCGTCATTTTTGTGTTATTATTATTATTAGATTTTTGGTATCATTAATTTTAAGATGGTGTTTTTTGCTTTCAGCTTGTGGGCAGGCTGTCTCAAGAGGAACTAATGGCTCAGCTACCATCATTCTTGCCTGCTCTTTTTGATGCATTTGGCAACCAGAGTGCTGATGTTCGCAAGGTAAAACTTATGTTTTGTCTTGGCATGTTAATTTTTTTTTGCTGGAAAAAATGTGATAATTCTTGTGAATGGGGATGAGTGATCAACTCTGAAAATTCTGTTTGCCTAATTTTGTATACCCAATTAACTTAATTTAGTCCATCTTCATATTAATAAAAATGCTGTTCATATTATGATTAATATCATGATTCAAGTAGGTGGATAAGACTTATTCTTTATTATTATTATTTTGACTTGGTTTTTTAGTGGCCTCTTCGAAGATTGCATATAAGTAGATGGTGGTGGCCTGAGTCATGTTCCAAATATGTTCATTAATGTCTTGTTGCTGTTTGGCTTTAATGTCAATGGTGTTGGACAGAAATAAATCCATAGATCTTGGTTCCTTTTGTTCCTTTCAAGCAGAAGAATAATATACATAAATTTCCAATACTTCGGACTACAACAATAATACGTAGAATTTACCAGATGAAAATTTCAAGGAAGCTTGAAGTTGAATACTTGAAAACGTAGACTGTCAATGAGTAGGCAAGGGTGAGACATATTAACATTCATGTAGACAATTATTGCCTCAACTACTACTTAATCTATTTTTTTTCTTTATTTTTATTCTTGTCAACCACTTATTTATCTATTGTTTTCGTTTATAGTTGGGGTATTTTCAAGAGGTTTTTTTTCCTCCTTTGGAGGAATAATACTAGCATGGTTACTTGTTATGCATATTCAGCATTATATTAGTTTTAAGATACTTGATGTGAGTATAATAGTGAATGGAAGTCCCTTGAAGCAGAAAATTTTCCACTTCTCTTTTTCTTCTTCCAGAAGGTTTTGATCAGCAGAATGTGAGTAATAGTATAATGGCGATGCAGTAAAATAAGTGCTAAGAGACACTCTCTTGCAGGCTATGATATCAATTTTTTTTTTTTTTTTTGATAAGCGGCTATGATACCAAATTTGATGTAGACCAGAGCTTGAAAAAGTTTTGACAGTTTTACTTATGTTTGATTATTTGGTGGGCTTAGAGCACTTTGTACTTGGAGATTTGATGCACGCTTCCTCTATTAAGTTTTTAGATTTACAGTTTTAGTAACTGGTAGAAAAGTTGTAAGCCTTTATGGGTTGGAACTTGGAGGGGTTGAAATTCGCTAGCTTTTGAAGGGGTTCGGGTGCAAGAACTTGAGGAAAGATGCTGTGAGTATTTCTGGACAGCCTTTTTTTTGGAGAATTAATGGTCCGTTTGGTTGGAGGGAAGAGTAAGGAAGGAGAGAAGGGGAAAGGAAAGGGGAAGGAATGGATAGATTTTCCATGGTTTTATAGGAGAATGGAAAGGAAGAAAGACTAGTGCGTCTTCCTCTCCAGGTCCACTAAAATCTGTCTCCAAAAGTGGGACGAAATGAGGATGAGAAGGGCTTTCCTCCTATTTTAGTTTTTTACCTTATTGTAAATACTGTATCTACTTTATACTATGAATATAGTGGCGGCGCTCTAGTGATGTTCTAAATTTAAGGAAATTTCTAAGTTGAAGCTATCACAGTCTAACTCTTGCCATTGGTCCCATGTTCAAATGTGGCATAAACCGTATTGAGGACTTCACCTTATTCCCACTTACTAGTGTAGTCCGTCTGAAATATAGATGATGGGTGATAGTATTGCATTATGAAGTGGCTAATGTTTTATGCTAAGTCACTCTTAAATCACCTCTGCAGTTCTTAAGCTTCATCTTCTTTGTGCCACATTAAGGAATCAATGCGAAACAAAAAGATGACACAACAAATTTTTGATGGGGTGATAGTATTGCATTATGAAGTGGCTAATGTTTTTATGCCAAGTCACTCCTAAATCACCTCTTAAGTTCTTAAGCTTCATCTATGTGCCACATTAAGGACTCAATGCGACACAAAAAAATTGACAACAAATTTTTGAGGAGGTAGAAATAGAATAGTAACATGGATATATATATTTTCTGTTTTATTGTTAATGTTTTTTCTTTATTCAGAGATATGGATATATTTTTGATTGATTTATTCAAGTTTCTTTGTTAATTATTGCATAAGTCAGAAGAATGAAGTTTTAAGTGTCCAACAAAATGTATAATATTTCAATATATGCTATTACTGCTGGTCTATTATGTGAAATCGGATTGATCGAGGACGTGTGATTGAAAAGAATGGGATACTGTTTATAAGGTTTGCAAAAATAAATATAATCAATGACTGACATGGGATAATCTTTTACACTATGTTTGGATGGAAGTGGAATGAAATGAGAAAGGGAAGATCATCTTCTCTGAATTTGGAAGGGAGAGAAAAGAAATGGAAGGATGATGATCATCCCTTGACCCCACTTGATTCTTTCCCCTAAAATGGGGAAAAATTAATGGAAGACGAAAATGAATTCGTGATTACCCATTTGCCTTAATTTTCACAAGTGTTCACTGTTTTAGCCTTCATATTAACCAATAAAACATTCGCAAATGAGTTCAGTTTCCCTTCCTTTCTCTTCTCAAGGGAGAGACACTAAGCTTTATTTATACTCTCTCTAGAACTCCAAAACAAAGCATTGCAGGGTTAGGTTGTTACTGAGCTGGTTTTTTAAGATTAGGTTATGAAAAGGTTGTATCTGGGAGAGGTATATTAAAAATATCATTGTGTCGCCTTTTAAGGTTCTCATTTATTTTTAAGTTGAACAAGGAGAAAAACCGATTGTAGGAACTTCTTTCAACGACGCTGTCAAACTAACCCTGAAAAATAGATTGGAAATGTGTGATATATTGTTCTTGTATATTTATGTAGTCTTTTACTAATATTGACCTTTTTTAGTGACTTTATTATTAATATTATTTGTTTTGGTGGCAGACGGTGGTCTTCTGTCTAGTGGACATCTATATCATGCTCGGGAAAGAATTCTTACCATACTTGGAAGGGCTTAACAGTACACAATTGCGATTGGTGACTATTTATGCTAATCGTATCTCGCAGGCCAGGACAGGTACTGCAATAGACGCGTAGCTGATTTGTTCAAGGTGAAAGATTGGGTCAGAGTTGGTGCCTCACCACCAACGGTTAGCTAATTTGTTTGGGATGGAAATTTTTTGGGTACAGTGAGTCAGTTTGGTCATTCGCTGTTGTGTATTTTGTATATTGTGTGAAATTTGTGTCTTGAAGGTGGGTTGGGTTTGTATTTTATTTTTTTAATTATTTTTATATTCATTTTCCCCTTTTTTGGTTTGAAGTCAGAGGTAGAGTGTTGTTTGTGGTGGGAAACAAATTCGGGATTGGACTCTTGGTGCCCATAATGAAATTTACATATTCTGAAATATTTTCATCTCTTGTATTTACAAGAGAAAGCTGGTCTTGTTATGATGCTTTGTGTATTTGGTGAAAAGGATGTCATATTTACATTTCAGCATTTTTTTAAAAAAAGAAAAAAAAAAATTAGCAGTTGGAATTTTTTAATTTTGATCTTTTTCTTCAATTTATTTATTTATTTTTATTTTTTAACACCAACCAAAGAAAACTATTATATATTAAAAGAAGAATTACAATCAAGAGCTAAGGCATCACGAAGCCACGAAGGCCGGACACCCCATTCAGCCACCAAGGCTTTGTTGTTCAATGTGCATAGCCCTTTTGTTAGTACACTCTCCAAGGTCCTTTTAGCTATATATATTTAGAGAGAGAGAGAGAGAGAGAGAGAGACATTTAACACCTCTTTTCTTTTCTTTATTCCTCATTAATTGCATATATTTCATGACGCTTTCTCAATATATCCGCTCAGGTAACTTATGCCCATAAAAGAAATAGTTAAATCAAACTTAGCCCTCCACGTGACATTATATATCATCTTCATTATTTTTGTTATCACATAATTAAATTGAAAATCTCATGTGTTACCTACAAAAAGTGGAAAAAAAAAATCTGCTCATAAGATTACACAGGATTGTGCAAATTCTCCAATCCCGGCTTGCAGATTTTTGCATATCTCCATCTCCACCCACTGGAATTTGTGGCGGAAAAAAAACAAAGAAAAAACAAACAAACAAACAAACAGCAGGGCTACAATGCATATATAAACCCTTTGTAGAGAAACATGCAGAGGCATCAGCATTGAAGACCTAGAGTTAATTTGTTGGTAAGTTTCTATATTAATTGTTCTTTAGCATTGCCTCTCTCAATAGCCTTATGTTATTTTTATTTTTGGTATTATGTAGTAATAGTGCTTTTTTGGGATGCACATTTCTCCATTACTTCTTGTAGTTCTTGTAAATTATTTTATGAAGCTAGGCATGCCTTTTTTTTAATTTTTTTTTTTTTTATTATTATTTTTTAAGGTGAATACCGGCACACATTTTACAAATTGCCATATTTTGTTGTTCATCAGGATCATCAAATCCTGAAAGAAAAGGATGACAGCAAATTTACCAAACTTTACTAATATGGTCACACCGTGCTTTAATTTATCACATTTAGGTCATGTTTGGTGTGGTTGAATGGAATTAAATAAGAGGGAATGGAATGCTTTTCTTTTCATTTTTGTGTTTGGTTTGGGCTATTAAAGGTGAAATCATCATTCTCCATCATTCTCGAAGAATGGTTATTTCACTAAAATCATTCCATCTTTCTACCAATGGAATGGGCATTCCATTCCCACTAGGATTAAAAAAATTATGCCTAAAATAAAAAAACATATTATCATTTCTTTCATAAACATCGACGTCTTCCCACCCAACATCATCTTCCAACCCATCATCCTCCTTTCTCAACTGTGGAACATAAACACAACTCAGCCGCCGCCATCATCATCACAACCCAGTCGCCGCCATTATCACAACCCTTGCTCTGACCGCCATCGCCATCATCACAACCCTTGCTCTGCTGCCATCATCATCTCCTTGCTCCGGCTGCCATCATCATCATCACAAACCCAGCTGCCGCCATCATCATCACAACCCTTGCTTCGCCGACATCATCATCTTCTTTCTCAATGGTGGAACATAAACACAACTCAGCCGCCGCCATCATCATCACAACCCTTGCTCCGCCGCCATCATCATCTCCTTGCTCGTTGCCATCATCATCATCACAACCCAGTCACCGTTAATTTTTTTGTTAAATTTATTTATTTATTTATTTTTTAAGTTAAATTTCTTTATTTCCATTCCATGCTTCTTCTCAACATGGCGTCTTTTGCCCTAATCTTGCTTGCCCCAATTTCATTTCTTACCATTCATTTTTTTGTTAAATTTCTTTTCTTTTCTTTTTTAAGTTAAATTTCTTTGTTCGTGATAAAGGGTAATTTGGAGAAATGAATGTAAATTAATTCCATTCCAACTTTTAAATTGGTTCAACCAAACACGTGAATAAGAATCATCATTCCATATTTACAGCATTCCATGTTTGCACCCAAACACCAGAATGGAATGGTCATTCCCATTCCATTCTCAGCTTCATTCCATTCCTACTCTATTTCATTCCACCACACCAAACTAACTCTTAATTCGTGTGAGTAAGGGATGACGTCATGATGATATCATCATATTTAATGAGGTAATGGTGACGTCATCCCTACTCACATGAAACAGCTGGGATGCATCCGATTTTTAGACTACCTACCATTATTTTTTCTGATTTTGTGACCGGCCACGAGGCGGATTAGCGCCATGGGTGTGCGTTGGAAGATGGTAGGCATTGTCGCCTATGGTTATGAAGGAGAGGGAAGGGCATTCATGGATGTCGGTGTAGATGAGTTTTATGAGAAGCCGATGCCACCAGATCAATTGGTCCGAATCCCAATAGAGATTGACGACAGTTAAAGGTTGAAAATGCTAGTCTATGAATCAAATCAAGGGCTGTTATGCAATTGTTTATGAACTTATCTCATTTTCATTTTGGTCCTCTTGTTATACATCTGTGTTGCGAGCTCATGTACTCAACTATGTTACTGGGCTTCTGTTGATTTTCTAGTAGTAATCGTAGCTGTTGCATGAACCATACTTGGTCTTTTCACTTTTGCGGGGTTTGCTTAATTTGTCACTTAAAAAATAATTTTCAATTTCTATATAATTAAAAGGGTTTACTTGGCTTATAACTCTGAAAATAGTTCTCAAGAATTTAGAGAACAGAAAACAGTTTTCAGATAACAATAAACAATAAAAGACAATTTTTTGAAAACAGACATTTTTATAAATGAGTTTTCAAAAAACTGAATCAAGTAGTGTTTTTTGTACAGTTTTATATTTTTAGTTTTCTGAAAATAGAAAATTGTTCTCAAAGTTACAAAACAAACAAAGCCTTATTTCTGGTTTAATTGAGTTGATGAATTGGGTAATTTTATGACAGTATGAAAACTTGAGCTAGTTTTGAGATTTCATATGTAGTGTATTTGAGTTTATTGTTAAATGTGTAAATGGTTGAGGCCACCAAAAAAGGCTATTTGAGTAAGATTATTTATTAATTGTGTGGCCCATATGATTTAGACATGTAATATATTTTATTAATTAGTGGTTAAGTAAATAGATATCAGATTAATATTATATTATTTGGTCAACTTCTTACCTTTTTGGTAATTAATTATTAGAGAAGTGTTTTCTTATTTATTCCTTACTTTGATGGAAAGTGAAATTAAAGTTACTAAAAGAAAAACTGGTCTTCTCCCTGCCTTTATAAAAGTGCATATTCTTATCAATTATGTACATTAATGAAAGAACACGTATAATGTTTATGGGTGCAAAAGGCCAAGAGAGAGAAACCAGTTTCCACCATTTGCCTATTGTTCAGAGTTGCGACTTAATTCGTTATTAAAGGATCTCGACATTGGACTTGATCTTGACCGGGTCCTCTTTTACAAGGGTCGCGATACCAAGTCAAGCTTGAAGAGTTGTGTGTGTTTAGGAGGTGGCCAAGTTTTACATTTATAAAAAGCCACTACTACCTTTCTCTATATAAAATATAGATAGGGTGAGTAAGGATCGTCCCAAGGGATTTGATGGTGTATCGAATTGTGAATTATGGTAATTAGGGTTAGTAGGTCAAGTGATCACACAATTGGTTGGTTGGTTGATTAAGCTAAATTGAATTCAACTAAATAAAATAATATGAGGTAAACAAGAGAGAGAGGTCTTGGGGTGTAGAGATCACCACCAAGCAATACTTTTCTATACTACTAACAAGTGATCAATTGAGGGTAATGGGTGAGTTGCAATATGATAAGGGTGTGTGTGCATTAGGTTGATTCAATAGGCAAGGATGACAAATCAAGCAAGTATTGTCTAAACATCATGTGAAGAGCACAATATATCTAAGCAATAGAGCATATATTGTCTAGACAACATGGGGATAGCACAATAGATCAAAACAAGTCATTAATCCTTCATTAAGCTCACAATCCACATGCAACACAATATTAGAGGAATATGCCATTTGGACTCACAAGCATGGAACATCAAACATCAAGAGTAGATTGTCCTCCCATCTAACATTATACTACCACTACACTAAATCTACACTACTAGCATGAAAATAAAGCTATCTAGACTAGGGAAGAGGCACAAACCATCAAGAATAGGCATAAACCATCAAATGAACCAAAATAACATTCATTAAGCATATCATCTTGATAATCTCTAGATCTATAGCATCAATACACATAGACATGCATCAAAAACACTAAATCTAGAGATAAACACATGAATATCCTACTCTAGCATACATAGACATATGGGTAGAATAGAATAGTCAATTGGAAGCATTAAACCATACAAACCATGAAATAATCAAGATTTATATATACATGAATATCAAGATGTATCATACAACACTAATCCCTCAATAATACACAAGATTAGAGTATAAAAAGCATGCTTGGGGCTAACTCTAGCCCCAAGAAGATGTCTAGCCACTCATGGTAGTGATGATCCAACCCTCAAGGGCTAACTCCATGGCTGCTCCTTGTAGATGAAGATCTCCTCCAATGGTTGCTCTAGCTTCCTCCCTTCTTCCTCTCCAAGAATAGCCTCCAAGATGATTTTCAATGTGTGACAAGAGACTCTAGACTCCTCACTAAAAAGTGTATCATATTCCTTATATAGGTAGGTCAAATACACCCTATGATGAGCTGTGGTTGTGCAAGGCATATTCTCCAATGATTTGGTGAATGACGGAATAAATGAGCTGGACTTTAACTTTTTCTCGCTGGAGGAAGTTCGATCGATCGAACCTTAACTTGGATCGATCGAAGATGGGTTCGATCGATCGAACTGCATCTTGGATCGATCGAAGTGGTCCGACTCCTCCGGATAAGAACAAGGCTGAGATATTTCA